TTGATGGATCCTTGCAGTTAACTCTTTCCAAGAAGCTGGCCGCTAAAATATTAGGATCCAGCAGCACCCTGTCCTGCCACCCACTCGGTATTTTTACTATATCTTCCCTAAGTGTTAATTCCCTTTCTTTCCAGCCCAGATATAGGCATTCTTAGAAGCGAAAATTGGGAAAATACTGAATTTCTCTCTGTTTCAGCCTCTCAGGAGGGAGTGACTTATGGCATAGACTTGCACACCCAATAGGAAATGTTGACAATCTATGGTCTTTTTGATAATTTAAGATTTAGAAACATGAAAAGTACCAGGTTCACATCCTCTAAAATGAAAGAAATGGAGGAATCTTCAAGTTTGGTGGAATGCTAAACTTACATTATGCCTTAACATATTATGAAAAAACTGATGTAATCTCCCTTTCTAGTGTGGTCAGTCTTCAAACCCTGGTTTCACATGTTCTCAGGAAGAAGTAATTTTAATGGCATGGTAAGTAATCTTTCAACACCCCCAGATCCTATTCTCTCTAGAGGACTCCATTCTAAGGACATTGTTAAATGACACCTACTACACATTTCCTTCCAGGTATATCTAGTTTGGAAATCTTTAGAGGCATCTTATTTGAGAGGAGATGTCATAATTGCTCTAGTAAGTATTTTTTGTATTGGTTAGCAATTTTCTATTAATGTCAAGATGGAAAGCTTTTCATAGACCTTTGTCATACAATTTATAGTTCTTATTTTAGGGCTCAACGTAAGTGAAGATATTGATAGTTAATAGAAGAGGAGAAGCTCAAATTATTCTTTTCCATCTGCCAGTCCTTCAACTTCTCTTGAAATTTATTTTCAAGCCTTGCAACAGAAGAAGTAAAATCAGAAAAAAAGACATTTCCTTTCCAGGAGTTCCTTAGAGGTGGTTATATCAGTATATGGTACAAACAGGTATAATATAAGGCTGTGGATTCTGTTTGACTAACTGAATAATCACAATAGTTTAGTGGTCTGCAGAAATGTATAGAAAATTTAGTAGCAACACCCATTTTTGTTTGATCATGATGAATTGAAGCACTGATACAAAATACCCTAGCAGAAGAAGTTTTAGGTGTCTTCACCTCCCTTTCCCTAGTCTTCTCACTTCCTGTTCAACAAATAGATTTGCACTCCAGACTAGAGGCCCAATGAGATGCCTTTTTGTAAATGATCAGTATATATCCTTTTGCTTGTTTGGTGTAGTATAAGGAAAGTGCTTATCTGAGTCTGTTCCATGCAATGCTCGCTGCTGCTTAAATGGCCTTTTCTCTTCTCTTAAGGAGTTTGTGTGGCTGGTGGCAGAGTTCTAATGTCTGGAAGAGTCCTAAGATCCTGACTCCTAAGACAGCACAAGAGTCAAGTCCACTCTAATTCAGACAGTTTGAAAGGCTCTCCTCTGGCTGGGGATTAGGCTGGGTGTGGTTTCTGCTTTGGTCAGGGTAGTGTGGTAGACTTTCTCTGGTTCAGAACACCCCACCTCTGGCCCCACCAGGCTATGTGCCTGGGTCGCCAGCCCTGGCTGGGGTGCTGCTTCAGTTGACATTGTCCGCTGGCTGCATGAGGCACTATCTGCTGTGGAGCCAGCAGAGGAAGAACCAGAGTGTGAGCTCCGAGAGCCTGAGGAAGGGGAGCTTGGTTCACAAGGTGGACTTCTGGGGCTTCAGCAGCTTCTTGAATTTCATTAGGTCTCTCTTCTTCCTCATATCTTCTTGTCTTTCCTTCAGAGTATCAGCCACACCAAGAGGAAAATCAGCAGGGCTCCAGCCACTACACCTGTCAGTGCGCCTGCGGCCATGCCGATGCTTTGTACATAGTGAACCATCACACAGCTTTCTTTCCCAGCCCCGTTGCCCACTGTGCATTGATAGAGCCCAGAAGAAGACACGGTAAGATTCTGCAGCAGAACTTGGCCAGGGTTGTGGAAGTCAATCATAGCTTTGGGAGGTAGATGCTCATCTTCTTCCTCTTCCTCTTCCTCTTCCTCTTGAATTCACTGCTAGTAATACACAATAGGCTTTGTGCCAGAGGATGAATCACACTGCAGAGTCAGATCACTTCCTTCAGTCAACTCTCCTGCTAGCTCACACTTGGGCTTGGATGGTCTCAAGTTACTAGAGGTTTCAGTTCATACTCAGCAAGGCAGAGTGGCACAGGGCAGAAAGCATCCATTCATGGCAGCAACAAAGAGCAAGAGAGCAAAATGGAGGAGTAGCAGCAACACTGGCCACAGAAAGGAAGTCTCAATCATACCTTTTCATGTGCATGCCTAGTGCCATTTATTAACCCCTTTATTACAGTGTATAAGTATTTATATATCTATCTTGCCACTTAAGCTATGATCTTTTTTTTTTTTTTTTTTGGTAGTACTGGGGATTGAACTCAGGACCTTGTACGTGCCGGACAGGCACTTATTCTACTGACCTATCTCACAGGCCTGAGGCTATGAATTTATTATTCAGTTGCACAATTTTTAATGGTGATAGGAACAAATTTAGAAAGAAAAAAATGTAAAACAAAAGCACAACATTCCTTGAGTATCAAGTTTTCAATAAATGAACAATCACTAAAAAAGAAGGAAAGGTTTTCAAATATTGTTTTAACAGCAATGTTTAATAATCTTTTCAGATTTGTGGTATAGAAGTAAAATCTTGAGTAGAATCAGCTGAAATAACTCCCGCTTATGCAGAGAGATTAGAGCGCCTCGGAGACTCAAAGCCTCCCCACACTTAGAGCGGAGACACCTGCCTGGCTGGGGACTGCTGCAAGGTGGCACCTTCCTTTTCAGACTGCACTTGGGTATTTGGCTTGGGCATATGCAGTCATCAAAGGAAACGTGTCATGAAAAGAAATGGAAACAAACAAATCACAATACCAAAAGAAAAGAAAAAAAAAAACTGCACAAACCACACTTTCCCAGTCCTCTATTTATGCTAGCACATTCTGGGAAAATCACTCAAAAACCTGTTACTAATCATTTAAACCTTAGGCTGTCGACATTTTCCTGCTTCACTAGCCAAACAGTCATGTGCAGCAGCCAGAGGGTTAAAGAGCCAGATTTCCTGTCCCATACTGTGGCTTTGTGTGAGCAATATGGAGGACCTCATCCTCACCGCGGAGGCTCCTGTTGAACACAAAGTGGTCTATCCAGGCAAAAATATGTGCAGCCTTCTGGGCCAGACCCGCTCCGGAAGGGCATCTGAGTTGGCTGTGCAATGAGTGAAGCTGTCCAGACCTGCTGTTCCGCAGAGGCCACGGCGGCCTCTCTGCAAGCCTCGCGCTCCAGCCAGCAGACAGAACGAAGCCTGCTCGCTCTGCAGGCCCAGACGCCCCGCAGGACGAGGCAAAGGTCTTCCCGTGGCTTTGAGAAATACCACGTGCAATCTATTATAAATGAGATGACTTGGATTTAGTAGACCAAAGACAAACTTTTCAATTTTCACTTTGAAACATATTAAGACAAAAAAGAATTAGTTGATTTCTGAGATTTAGACTGTAGATAACAGGATTTTCTATTCCACTATTAAAAGAAAAACTTACAATCTGTACAGTGGATTGTATTTCCAGTGGCCTACCAGCATACTTTGTGTTATTATAATGGAATGTTTATGATACGCATTTATATGTATTGTATTACATGGTATAATAATAAATATACTAGGACGCTTCCACGTCAAGGAAATGCAAAATTACCCTCTGGAAAGTTCAGGCATATCTCATCATTCGACTTTTTAACCACCAGTGTAAAAATTCTGGATTTTCATTTTTCTAGGCCTTGTTCATTTGACTCATTGTCATCTGTGGTTAATTAACAAAATAAGGACAAAAATCTTGAAAGTGGGCAGTACACTATGGATAATTATTCATATCTTTTTTTGCTTCATGAAAATCAAAATTCAAATTCAATTTGACAAGGAATCTACTTATATTACCTCCTTCTGTAAACTTCCTCATTGACAGTCTAGGTTTTGAAAATCTTTTTTCTTTTGGAATAAGGAAAGACCAAACTTATAAAAAGAAGCAAGAGAAAAGTGCACAGATCATTTCACGTACAAGGTATAGCTGAGGACTGCGCTTACTAACATCCATCATAACTCAGCAGTCACAAACAGAAATTAGAAGACAAGCTTTGTAGGTAAACAGAAAAGCATCCAGGCACGTGATGTCTTTGCCACTTGAACATTATACCCTGCTTGTTTAGAAAGCAAGCCGAACCAAATCAACATGTGCTGCCGGAGCTGAACCTCAGAGTTCTGGAGGAGGGGAAGTTTGTCTTGGGATTAGCATAAACCACCATGGGTCTTTGGAGTCAGACTCAGAAGCTGAGATTCCATCATGCCCTTAATTATCATGTGTTTCCTGTGACGAAGAGAGTACTGTTTAAAATGTTTGATAATCTGACAAGGCCATAAGGCTTGATGGAATCGATGATTACACACAGATGGACGATTAACTTTCGAGGTTTAACGTTAAGAAAAAAAAAGTAACTGCGCTGGATTGCTACTTAATGGAATTACACTGCCCATATGGAAAAGAACTATACCCTAAATACCCAGAATGATGGAACAGGTGGCAGAGTCTGGGCAAGACTGCTTGGAATGCACAAACGCATTCTGAACTTGTAATTGCCAGAAAGATTCCTGCAGGAAAAAAAAAAAAAAAGAATATTTGAAACTGTGTTAACTTTTCAACATTTTGGAAATATGAATTGCAAAAAAAATAATTAGAAAATTAAAACCCAAAGTACACATTTTTCTAGTTGGTTTTTCTCCAAACTGTCTTCTGGAAAGCTCATGCTATGCTTCTCTGTGAGTGATGCAGAATCTAACGCACAGATCACTCACCTCTAGCATCAACTCCGTGCTGCTGCATGTGCCTTCATAGCAGCTCTACCCTCCGAACAATGTCGCTAGGGGAAGGAGATGAAGACTATTAGCTGATATAAGAACTGGGCTTTATTCCTGGCCTTCATCTTCTTTAAAAAAAAATATGAAACACTTCATGAATGTACATGTCACCCTTGCACAAGGCCATGCCAATCATCTCTGTGTCTTTCCAATTGTAGTATATTGCTGCCAAAGCAAGCATTTATTTTTTATTGTATTTTATATCCATACTTCCATGGATAAACAATAGCTGCAAATATAACAATGGTAGCAGGATATAAACACTAGTGAGTATTTACATATAAATAACCAAATGATAGAGTAATATAATTCCAATTAAGAAACTATTATTGATGGAAGATAATTCTTTTGTGATTTTTCCTTCAATTTCTTAGGGTTTTTGTAGTAAATATTAATGACCTTTCCACTCACAAGGACTCTGTTTTCCATGGACACAGAGATAGCGGAAAGAATCAAGTTCTTGTTAATGACAATAACTTGGTAGGAAAGTGACACTGAGTGTCTCATGACAGGAACTAATTGCTTTATATACATCATTTTATTACATTCTAAAAGTGTCCTTCTGTGTTATTTTCCTATTTTACTTGAGAAATTTGACTGCAAGTAGGCTTGCTAAGCTCACAAAGATAGTGACTGATGAGGTTGGGACTAAGTGGGAAAAGGGACGGGTGATATCAGACTTCCTTCACACACAGCTATTTTCAACACCTCTGTAACGTGATCTCTCCCTGATTCTGTTAGTTCTCTGATTCTTCGTGTGCACTCTCAGACTCCCTTTTGTATCTGACACCTTCACAACACTTACAGATGAGCACTATCTTGCAGATGCTAATAGGACCTTCGGAGTGTGCCTAAGAAGAGTCACATGGAGAGAAAACATTCTCTCAGGCTTTCACAGAGAGCACATTGGCCAAGCAATGGCCGTGACTCATCCACATGGCTGCACTGACAAAGGTTCTACAATCTGAGGTACAGGATCTCAAGATAAATCCTGAGGGCATTTCACTGACCTTCTCAGACTAAAAAGCTCCAACTCTTGTTGCATAGGTCCTGCTTTACCTTATCCAGCAGAAAAGTATAAAAACAAAATATAAGAAGTAAAGCCATGCTGTTATGTTGAGCTGTAGGGGACTCAGGTCAACAATTTCTGACATTTCCAGTCAAGTGGAAAACCCAATACTATTATGGTCTACTGGACTCTTTTAGAATATTTTGCTGAGTTAACACACCTATAATATTCAAATAACGGAACTTTAAAAAAAAAAAGAGTATACAGATGAATGTCCATTTTGTATCTGTGTATTCAAAGTGGTTAGGACAAATAGTTACATTCTCTTAATGAATAGACTGATTTGTTCTAATGGTGTTTATAAATAGGATATCATGTCTGCATCTTGTATAGCAATTAACCACTAGGAAGAATGTATGCAAAGTGTTAATTATTGAAACTGTCCTACCAATTTGATTTGAAACTGTCTCATTGCTATTTGTTTATCAATAAAATTATGTGAAAAAAAATTTTAAAAATGCCTCCAGAATAAAGGAATAAATTTTAAAAAGAAGATACAGGAAAACATAGAGCACCTCAGAATAGTGAATAAAAAAATAAGAGTGAAGAAGCTTCATAATATTGTTCCTCTTTGTAAAATTCTAAATTCTCTTCCTTTGAAATAGTAAATGTTAAATTCTTGACTTTTTTTTATTTCTGCTTTTGCTGCCTCTGCTTCTCTGATGCCTTAAACATATTCTTGGTAGGTTCACTAGGTAATTCAATAAAATGTTATCTTTACCATGGAGCCTTTGGGAGGTAATTGGTTGGTTAAGGTGGAGTCCTCATGAATGGGATCAGTTGCCCACAGGAGAAGAGACATGCAAGATTGGATCTCTCTCTCTCTCTCTCTCTCTCTCTCTCTCTCTCTCTCTCTCTCTCTCTCTCTCTGTCTCGTTTTGTCCTTTTCTGTCTGTGTGTGTGTGTCTGTGTATGTGTCTGTCTGTCTCTTTCTTTCTCTGTCTCTCAGTCTGTCTGTCTCTTTGTCCCTCTGCCTTTCCCTCCTTCTCTCTGTCTCTCTCTTTGTCTCTCTCTGTGTCTGTCTCTGTCTCTCTCTTTCTGTCTCTCTGTCTGTCTCTGTCTCTATCTTGTCTCTCCCTGTCTCTCTGCCTTTTTCTTTGTCTCTCTCTCTCTTTTTCTCTCTGTGTCTCTGTGTGTGTCTCTCTCTATCTGCCTCCCTCTCTTTTTGTCTCTCTGTCTGTCTCTTCATCTCTCTCTGTCTCTCCCTCTGTCTCTCTGCCTCTTTCTTGGTCTCTCACTGTCTCTCTGTCTCTGTCTGATTGTCTGTCTCTCTCTCTAGCTCTTTGTCTCTCCGTCCATCTCTTTGTCTCTTTATTTGTCTGTCTTTCTGTGTCTGTCTCTTTGTCTCTATCTATCTATCTATCTCTGACACACACACACACACACACACACACACACACACACACACACACACCAAGAATGCAGCCATTAGAAAACCAGAAGGACTATCCTCACTGAGCTGCTAGCTTGATCTTATACTCCCCAAGCCCTGGAATTGTGAGAAAGAAATATTTACCATTTAAGCCCTTTCACCTCTGGTGCATTCATCACAGAAATCCATGCTAACAATTTGGAAACAACAGGAATTATCTTGGTTAGTTCAGTCATTCTATTTTGTTATTTAATTTCTGGGGTTAATACTTGCAGATCTCTGTTATGACTATCATAAAAATGGAAAGCACTATTTACCCTAAAAATAATCTTGACATAGTCACGCAAACCAATTAGTTCACTCAATGTATAAATATGTCTTCCTTTAGCTATTTGCTTCCTAGCCTTCTATATGCTTACAACATTTATGCATTTTGGTATTTATATTATCAAAATAATTTTTCAGTCTTTATCTACTCCCAGAGAAATTTTAGATAAACAGTAAAAGCCCTTCTGGCCCTATGAGAAGGCCTCGCCCAGCCTTAATGTTTTATCTTCCACTAACTACTTGTGAACCTTGATGTGCACTGGGCTTCTATTTCTCTTAAATATTGATTGTGATGATATCATGGGTATTATCAAAGAAATTAAGCATCAGATATGTGAGACTTTTATAAAAATGCAAACAGCATGGATATTGTTTAAAATAGGAACTATATGCCCCATCCCCAAATCCTGTACAGCATGGATGTCAGCTGGACTATATCTAAAGAAAGCAAGTACCACCTGTCCAAAAAATTTGTAAAATTTTGAGGGCAAAGCGTAGACCTTATTATGAGTGGTTGGCTTTGGTTAGAAAGTATACAAAGATACAATTAATATAGCAGAACACTTGGCAATGAAGGGCAAATATTTCAGATGAAAATTATGCATGCATTTTCTTTTGCAGTTGCACTCTTATTGTAATATCTTTCACTATCATCGGGGGTATTTCTATAGAAAATAAAGAGGATCTCTATCAAATGCATCCATATTATTTCTTTACATGACTATCAGACTTACTCTGTGACTGTCTATCTCTCTTTGTTTTAGAATTCTTCACTTGTCTGAGTATCAGTCCTAGTCTCTTGTCTTACTTGCTATTGAGACACAACGTGGGGTCTCATTGGTCCCAGTATGCCTGGGGAAGAAACAGCAGCAGGAGTAAAGAAAAGGTAGACAAGAGACAAGAGCTGGGTTCAGGTGGAGGCCTGTTGGCCTGATGGGCAAAGGACCTGAAGAAAACAGTGAGTGTGTTTATTTGTGCTCTTGCAAAGTTAGTATAATGAAACACAAGGTTGCCTAATGACTAATGACTAACATTGTCCAAGCAGTGTTTTTCTTAAGACTGAGGTGTCTTGACTTCAGTGGCCTTGCCCTGCCCTCACATTTATGACCAATTTCCAGTTTCAGTCACTCCCAACAGATTAATTCTGAATTATGGCTTTATTCTATTAGCTGTAAATAGATTCACTTTTAATAAAATATCTAGAGTTGCTATAAGATATATTAAAAATAATTAATGTGTAATCAAATTTGACATACTTTACTAAGTTTCCCACTGGTGGGTTTTTTCTTCTTTTTCTTTTATGTACTTAGTACAAGGTCTACAGGGTCTCACTACACAGATGGGATTCATAGTGATCTTCCTGTTTTCAGCCTCCCAAATGCTGGGACTATAGGCACATGCCACCATGCCCAGTCTCAATCACCTTCTCAGCTTGGCCCAAGGGTGGGGTTGTCACAGTACATGGGGGTGGGGGGTGGTTTCTCCAGTCCCTGCATCTGCATAAGCAGGGGCTTTAATCTGCTGAGCTATCTGGCCACCACCACCTCACTTGTTTTTTCATTTTCTACATTGGCACTGGGTCTCACTACACAGCTCAAACTTGTAATGATCCTCCTATTTTCAGCTTCCCCAGCACTGGGATTACAGGTGTGTGCCACCATGCCCGTATTCAGTTGCCAGCTATGGGAACTACAGGGATAGGACCAGCACAGTACACTAGACCGGAACCCTGGTTCCTGAGCTTGCAAAAGCAAGCACTTAGTCCACTGAGCTATCTCACCGGCCCTGGTAGTTTCAAGTAGCAAGTTTATTAATTTTTGAAATATATTTTTGACTGATAGATAATGTGATGATTGACAATTCAATTTTAAACACTGATTCTGGTACAGAGTGCACCAAGGGCAGGGATTAAGTAAGGTCACTATGATCTCATAATAGTAATACAGTGTTTACAGCTGAGGAAGACTCACAGCAGCCTGTAAGATAACAGCCCCCTTAGGCCTCATGCCAAGAGTAAGAGTGTTAGTAGAGCTAGAACTGTCTCCCAGACAGAGGCAAAGGAAATAGCATGTGTTCCTTTGAGACTGACAATGGAATCTCTACTTAAAGATGCAGGCTTCACGTTAGAAAGTTCAACACATTTTGCTATGTAAAGAATATTCAGTGTTTCAGTAGAACTAACCATGGTTCTGAAATGACCCTGGTCACTTCCTTCTTGATCAGTCTGACTACAGGATACATTGCTCCTCTAAAGGCCAATTGCAGGAAATACATAGTGTATTGGATAGACTTCAAAACCAGGAAGCAACCAACTCTGCTTCCTTGTTTTGAAAAACTCATCAAACAGGATGGGAAATAATTATTTATACACATGCTCATTCATGTATATGATATATATATATATATATATAT